ACCTGAACAGGCAGAATACAACCAGGCCTAAGGTGATGAAGGAAAAAATACCTGAGATGCCCCTCCTTCCTATTTTATCCAGCCCAGAAGATTCAACAGGACATGCTCTCTCACAGCCAGGACTCCTTCAGACAGACCTCGATGCTCCACGTCAAACTGGAAAGATTCCTAGAGCTAGATACAGTCCTGGGACAGAGCTACTACTTCCTTATCTACATGTTTTCTGAAAATACACTATATATAAACATCACCTGACCTCTACTCTGGTCCTTTATGCGGGACTGCAACACAGACTAAACCATCTGCTTCAGGATATGAAGATGACACCTCAACGCCAACACAGTCCCCGATATTAGAAATCCTAGTACAGTCTTATTTCCACAAACTAAAAAATTAATGTGAATTTATGGGACGCTGATATACAAAGAAACAGCAGCACACATCACTCTATCTAGTAACTACCCAGGACATACTGTGAATGTAGACTGCATACAAGCAGTTGCAGGAACTGCTGGAGGAAACAACCATTTGCTCACAGCTTCAAAAGGGGAACTTGCACAGTTTGACAGGACAGCCTTACCCCTTTGCTGAATACAGCCAAGTGTACATGGGTGTCATTGACTAGTGTCTGTCTCATCCCTTACAATGCAATGGAGTTTCTCATTCATTCGAGGGGCTGTCCACATACTCAGAACTTCATAAACCTGCTACCTTCCCACAGAGATACGGTGCTAAAGGAAGATTAAAAGTACTACAAGTTATCAGCATATACCACTCACTAGGGATGGCAAAGAACACATCCTGGAAGAGCAGAAGCAGCCTCAAAGAATTCTTATCCTTTCTCCATCTCTCTCCTTTCTGCCCCCTTTTTCTTCTCTTATTTTGTCCACACTCCTCCACTTGCTCCACTAGTGCAAAGATAAATGCATTCTGGCAGCTGTACCTGCTCACCAAATAATCATCAGTAGCATTATTTAATAATTTTCTGCCACACCCCCCCGTCCCCCTACTTTCAAAATGGTTTTCTAGTATGTCCTGCACTGCACTGAGTGCTGCATTGGTCAAACACCTACCATTACATGCAGCCATAGCAATTTATTACTGGTTCAGAAAGGAGGATCACCTCTTAGTTGGCTGTTCAGAGAAAAGAAGTCATGCTAACATTCTCATGGAATTGTCTCCAGCTTCTGTCATAATCGTCCTTTTCTTCTACTATCCTCTTTCCAATTACATTATCTCCTTTTATTTAACTGTTTTATTCCAAGATATCTGAGACTTAGGAGAAGAAACTGAGTCAACCTAGGATGTAAGATACAACATACTTTACACGAAGCCTGTGATACCAAAAAGCATCCAAGGGAATGCCCACTTCTCTTGCCTTTTCCAACAGCAGATGGCTGCTCTGAAAAGGGCTCTGTGAGCTCATCATTGCAGGGGGAGAATTTCTACCCCAAGAAATTGTGTTACCAAAATCTTAGTAATAACTTTTTAGTTAACACACACAAACTTGTAGTCTAAATCTATTTAGCTTAGTACTTTCTTAACTAGAGGCCATTTGGCTTTCTATTCAGTTCTCGTTCACCTTTACTTCTTTTTCATGAATTTTAGAAGATTCTAAGTCTTTTGCATTACTTTAAATTTCATGTCTCCCCCATTTACCATATTACCATGAACTTTCATCTTGCTGAAACAAATGAAGATCCTTGTGGAATATGCCCTGAATTTCACGGAGGGAATGCTGTCAAATGGAAAGCCACGTTCTTTTCAAAATCAAAAGTCAGTTTGGACAGGAAGTCAAGGCTGTGACATCAAAGTTTTGTCAGACACAACATTAGACAGAGGTGTTTTGACCAGACAGGCATCTGATTAGACTCCTTCCTATAAACTTAATTTAACCTTGTCCTAAAGTATGGATGCAAATCAAAATAAATAGCCATCCCTTTGGAAAGAAATACTGAAGCAGTAAAATTTTCAAGAGCCTCTTTGAAGCTCTAGATTTTGATTGTTTGATCTTTTATATGACTTAATGCTGACAACTTATATAACAAAAGGAATTCCTAATACTATGTTATTTCTTCTATTTCAGTATAACAGATCACATAACTTCTTGGGTTTCCAAATATAAGCAAGTGACTACTTATGGGATTAAATAGATGTAAGGGATATGTATATTCACGTCCATTTACAGCCTCTATTTCCAGTGACCCACAACAGTGTTTGTTAATAACAATCATTTTTCATTTGATCCTACAAAATTTCTGCAAGTATATATTACTATACTAAACACAACACTTAATTTTTGATGTTTTATTTTGTTTTACAATTAAAATTATTATGTTTATTTTCACTTCTAGCTCCTTAAGAACCTAGACAAAATACTTTTGGCATCCCTCCTGCACACCCACTCTTGCTGATTTGTGGATCACTTAAAAATATTATTTATTTTTTTTTAAATCATCCATCCTTTTCTGTCCTCTAATAACTATAACATTCAGATGTGTAGAAGTCATATTAGGGTTTTTTTAATCTGACCTTGCAATAACATCAATTCCTAACCATACTAACACAAGAGGAACTAGAGAAGTAATTTTATTTCTGTGTATGTGACTAGTAACACACAGTTTTATGGATAGAAAAGAGCCACAAAAATCATCCAGGAATATGAAAAATTGAGAACCCTAAAACCCCATTATTTAGGGAGAAAACCCTAAATAATGATAACCCTAAAAAGCTCAGTCTGTTTAGCTTTTTCTTAAATCAAACAAACAAAAAAAAAGTAATACTGAGAAGTAACTTGATTACAGGTTAAAAGCACCTTCCTGGGGAGAAAATCGCGAGTCCTAAAGAGCTCTTTAATCCATCGGAGAAGGCATAACAAGAATCAATGACTGGAAGCTGAAGGCAAACAAATGCAAATGAAATAAGGTAGAAAATTTTTAGCAGCAGGCACGATTACTACTTGTATTATCTTAGTACCTGGAAGCCAAATCATGAATCAGGACTCTGATCTGTTAGGTGCTGGTAAAAAAACCACAGCCCCAAACCAAAAGAAGACACCCAAAGCACAGAAAAAACTGTGATCCCTGCCAGAAGATTACAAAAAGCAAGTAAGATGAAGTAACATAATAAATCAGTGATAATATTATCTGATATGATAGGCAGCAATTTCAGGCCATGGTTTCATGATACAAAGTGTTATTAAGACTTAAGGTGATTCTTCGTATCAAGACTGTTTTGTCCCATTCCCACCATTTCTCCACAGCTATGAAATGAAATGAAGACTGATCCTTATTTAAAAAAAAAATAAATCAGTACTAAAATCAGGGTTTTCATTTTTATTTTACAACAAAATTCCAGTGAATACTTTTGCAAATATTTTGATTTTTATAAATTTCAATTAATGGGTTGACCAAATTTTCCCTAACAGTATTCCTACCTGTTCTTTTTACAGGAACTTGCTGCATTACTTGTGAGAAAAGACTGCATATCCCAGAGAAAAACATGCAAAAGCAAAGTAGGAGATTGTTTTGTTTTCCTCATAGCAAATCACTAGGTTTGGTGACCAGATCTCAAGCACCATGCATAGATAAAGCAGACATTAACAGAAACAGAAACTCAGACCATGGTCTGGCAAGGTTTCCCTGAAAAAAACTGAATATGCTACCAAATTCTAACATAAAAGATAACAAGATGAGCTTGTGTTCCCAACACAATTGCCCTGGCACTGGAGCCTACACATCATCCTTGGTAGCCTGCAAACACAGCAAGTCACTACAATTTGACTGGGAAGAAGATTAAAGGGGTAAGCCAAGAGCAGCATTTTCTATTATTAAAGTTTTTGTGAGATCAAGGATCAGAAGAAAAGCCCCTGAAATTCACTGTGGAGAGAACTGGGAGTATCTCCTCTTATTTTTCAATAGGAAAACATAGGAGAAAAGCCCACTTTTGATTTCTGTTTCCTCATTTAAATTATTAGCAGACTACAGCAACACCCCCAACATCTATTGCGCTGGGAAGCTCTGGAGGAGCTAATTTTTGGGGGTGGGAATGCTGAAGAGAAAACAAAAGCTAAAGAGCTGGGGTCAACACTACAAATACTCCCTGAGACTTGGAAGCAAATTGGATATACCCATGGTGTTAAGCACCCATCCTTTTTGCTTCCCTTCCTCCCTGGAGGTGGCCAGCCTCCTTCCATCAGCTGATGTTGATGGTGTTTCACTGGGCTGGATAGTCACATTCACAAGCTAGACAGGGAATCAGTTACAATCAGTTCTGAAAGCTTTCATTTTTCTCTTTGTTAAAAACAATTTGAGCTATAGCTATAATAAGTGACATTAAAAGAACACTGCTTCATTGCAAAGTTTAAACACTTAACAGCCTTACTCTTTGGCCTCGTGCACTGTGCTGCGTTTTTCCACAGGACTGCTCCGTGTGTGCAGGACACAGCTCAGGAAGTGAATCAGGGCTGTGCATCAAATTAGATTATTTATTGGTTGGTATACGTGTTGTCTTTAGGAGTTATGCTGAGAACAAGACACAACTACAGGAAGAGAGCGATGGGCATGTGGTTAAGGCAGTTGAATGCCACACAGAACACTCACTTCTGCCTCTGCTACACCAGCAGCCCCCGTGAGCAAGGAGCAAGTCAGACCTCACACCTTGGCAGACGGCCAACCAACCTCTTCTTCCTCATTTTCTGAGAGTCCCAACAGAAACACCTTGGGCCTTTCACGTAGAAATGCAAAGCAGATGATGATAATGGAAGGTTTGGGTCTTGAGGGAAAAATGGAGCCAGTGGCACAAGGTTAAAAGGCAGGAGAATCCATTTAATATCATTGACTTTTACTACTGACTAAACAAGTGGCTCAGTTTTCTCCTTGGTCTAACAGGACAATGGTGCTCTTCTGTTCTGGGAATATGCAAAAATTCATCAGATACTGTGAAGCTCCTTAATATCATTATAATAAGCCTACAAAAACAAAAAAAATTGATTCTCTATATACAAAGAAAGTTTTGGATCTTTTAATCTCTTAAATATTGTATACTGCTATATACTTGCTCTAAAAGTATTACAATATAAATACTAACATAGAATACATCTATTTTTCCTCTCACACTCTATTTGTGTTTTTTCAAAGTCCTTTATACAGCTTCTATCAGGGCTATAACTTTACTATTCAGTGAAGCTGCAACATGGAATAGGACAGGGAACAGCAAGGTATTCAGTGGCTCATATAAATAAAAATAATCTTCACTCTCAGATGTGTGTTGTGTAACCACAGCCACAAGAATAGAAAAGTAACAGTAGAGCTAGTAAAAGGTAATGTCTTTTCCTACTTATTTTATTACATCAGAGTATCATCATACTGAAAGCTTTCAGTAATACTAGGCTGCCAAGTTTGCAAAATAAATTATACTTTGTGTCCAGCAAAAAATAAACAAATCTACCTACATCCTTAAAAATAACCTGAACAGTTTCAACAGTTACTGTGACTTAAAAATCTGAGTTAAGAGAAATACCACAATGATTGAAAACCCAGGTGACAGTCTCCTCCATTTTAGGTAGAAAACCACTACATGTAAAAACCTAACACAATAATCAGAGCAATCATGAGGTTTAGGCACACAACAGAACAGAAATATTTTAACAATGTCTGAAAACATCCCAAGCACATAGTGTCTGAACACTGCTAAAGTGGATGTGCATAAGACTCAAAGACAACACCATTTAAAGAATAACTTTCATCATTTAAGAAGCAAATAGACAGGAGAACAAAACAGAAATTTTGGTTCAGGCCTACAATCAGATCTTCAGAGTGAGAACTTGCAGTCACCAGGGTGTCCCATGAACTTTGTCAGGCCCCCAGGCTATCAAGATCCATTTGAACAAATCCAGTTGCAGGACACTAGGACCTAAATATGTAAAAAGAAAAAGAATGAAATCAGGTAACACAGCACACTCCTCTAATTAAAGAGACACCAAACTAATCACAGAAAAATAATCTGAGTGGCTAGACCATGACAAGATCTCTATTTTTACCCTAAAATGCTGCAGCTACAGCAAAGGCAACAGTGATCTCTTACACCAAGAGATTTATAGAGCATTAATTGATCACAGCGCATTCCCCTTCAGGCAAACACAAGTACCTGCAGTGTGTTTGCTCACCTCCTGTGTGCTGCTGCTTTTTTGTTGTTATATGTAATTTGTTTTATTATTTTTAATAAAAGAGAGTGGTCTAAAATCAATAAAGGCAATGTATTTATCTTCATCAGCTCTTCATGTAGATTTTCAGCCTCTTAGTAACACAATGGCCAAAACTAAAATAAGACAATCTCCCCGTATTTTAAAACACTATAAAACTGACAGAAAGTAAATAATATTTCTATGAGAAGCGTCATTGTTAAGCCTATCTGAAGGTTGTGAGAAGTTCTAGCAGTGTGTCTCCCTAAGGTTTCTGTGAAACTCCATGGCAGCACACACCTAGTATCATACAACTGCTAATGAGAAAAGAGACTGTAGCAAAAAAAATGCCTACCTCATAATGAGGTTTTCCCACTGAAATACAGACACAACAGGAAATTTAACACAACAGGAGTGTGTGACAGCAGCAGTGAAGACACTACAGTGGCACAAGCACATGGCTACACAGTGGAGAGCTGTGTCATCCAAACTTCCACAGCAGCACTTCTCATCCACCCCAGGAAGGGGCCCATGCTTCCTCCCTACCTAAGGCTATCTCTCTCAGCTTGGGAGGCCATAGTGGCCAATTCACCATGCCTGTAAATGTCTGCACCACTGCACCTTGTGCCTTCACGACCATGACCTCTTGGAGACAGCCAGACCAAGGACAGAATGAATTGTCCAGGAGCATGACACCATTCTTCCTATTACTAGAGCACAGTTATACTTTCAGAGATCAGCATGTGACCAGACAAATCAATAGAAATACAACTTCTACCCAAAAAAGTGTTCATGACAATCAACAATCTCTGCTTACTGTTGTATCTCCTACAGGATGGCTTAAGATGCAGCAAGATCCTTTACATAAAAAAATTAACAAATTTAAAAATTAACTCAAGATATACAAGGACATGAACATCTTAAATTCACTGAGACATTCATTTGCCTATAGCACTCATGGAGAGATAAGGACTCAAACTGCTATTATTTCTACATAGGAAAAAAATAATACTATATACAAAGTTTTCCATGCACATGGACATGAAAAAGCCTTTTTTGCCAAGATGACACACTGACTTAGACCACATATATATATAAGGAAACACAGATATGCAAGGCATATGAGATCTCAAAAATTTGTGAGCAAAAGAAATGTGTTTGTCTTTTTAGAACTGGTGTTAGCTCAGGACAGATACCAAAATCTTTACTCCCATTTTAATACTGAATTCCCAGTTCAATCCCACATGTATATCTGAAACTGGCACATGGTAAAGAATCTGTAACACTGGGCTTCAGCTATAGTGTCAGATTTTGGTTATTTTATCTCCAGAGAGTTACAGCCTCAAACCTGGGGTCACTCTGCAGGCACACAGAGACTTGGGGGGAAGATGCAGCCAGCAGGGCCCAGCTTTGCTCAGGCAGAGGTTCCAGTCCCAGAGCCCACTGTGCCTGTGGGGTGTGTTTGCTCAATGAATTTATGATTTCACAAATTTTCAGTAAGCAGAGAGTAATTTACTGCCCCTTACCTGGCTATCACTGCTCTTTCTTTGAACAACCTGAAACTGTTGATGGGCTATTAATATCAAATTCCTTGTCAGAGTTACATTTCCGAAGAAAGGCAGGTTTTAATTTCTTTTCCTGAAGCTTTATCTTTTTAATCTGGACATCTAACTACTTGACACCTAAGACAACCTTTTTTTTGCTCTTGCAAACATACATTAACAGTTTAGATTTCCACACCTGGCAGAAATTTATTGAAAAACAACAACAAAAAAGCAACTGTTTGGATGTTTTCTTCAGGTTATGCCTCCTTGAAACTAAAGCTTCCTCATCTCTGGTTTAAGTCAGAAAAGCCTAGAAAAAATTCTAATTCACACCAGTTTGCTAGCAAGTCCATACAACTACACACCACTGGAAAGTTAGCCAAGAACAGATGTATTTCCTCTGTCCTTTCTCAACCTGTGAGCTCTGGTACATGCTGAAGGGAGAAGGAAAAGATAACTGTGGCTGGTATGGGACCTGGCTATAAGATTCTCAAGCAAACTGAAAGCTTCCTCCTCCTGGGGGGAATTCTTATACCATCAGGCAGAATCAGAATAAGGAACAGAATAAATTAATTACTACTGAAATACTATGGAGTATTGTTATGAGAAGACTTGACTCCATAATTTAATTGTAAGGAAATTACTGTATCTGTGTTCTCCATTACTATAAACCAAATGAAAAGACCAGTGCCTTCCCAGCAAATACAAAATCCATCTTTTCATGCTAGGCATCCTACTGTGACATTACAAATCTAACTCAACAATTAATGTCCAGCCCTTTGTGGCAGGTGGGGAAATATTCTAAGCAGTATTATGTGGGAAGCAGTTGTAGGAGTGCAGAATGTCAAATAATAAATAATACAACTATATTTGAGGACAGATCTTTACAGTTTTTCCTATGAATGACTTAACTGTTGGTGACACACACAAAGCTGCACAGCTACACCATCATCCTGCCTATTGCTCAGACACGTAACTCTAGCATCACCTTACATCCCAAAGATACTCCAAATCCCAAGATTCATATTCATAATTTGCAGATACTTTCAATGCAACATTTCCAAGACGGTATTTTTCTTAATCCTCCCAATCAGCTAAAGTATTCAATCAGGTTAATCATCATCATCATGATGATGTTTTGATTCAGCAAGATTTTGCTCTCTGCTTTTTGATTCAGCAACATTTTTTCTCTCTGCTTTTGACAAACACAGCCTAATATCACACACATTCACTCAGAGAACTGCTGCAAAGACCCTTTCCTAGTCAATCGCTCAGAGAACACATCACTGTCTCCACAGCTCTCCTTGGCTACTTCTGCAGCATTTACCACTTGTCTTCACTTCCAAGGTCCATCCTTGTTTATCACCACCACACCTATTGCTCCTTAATCTTTGTCAGGAAGACAGCTGTGGTTTGCTCATGTTTGAAGTCAGGCCAATCTTCATAAAACACAAAGCTGAAAAGACCATTAGATCATACTGTCTAATTTGGTTATTATGTTGTGTTTGGCTAAGACACTTTAAAAACCTCAGTTTTTTACTGATAAAAAAAATAAAATTCAGAGATGCTTCTTGTATCTCTTCCCTTCCTATCTCCCACTTGCCATTCAGTGTCAAGAGTCCAGTTTCCAGCTCCTCTCACACCCACATGGTGTATTTTCAAACAAACCTCTTGTGCCTTTTTCTGTCTTACACCTTACACTTTATGGAAACTCCCTTAAATATCTGAAAACATACTGCATTACTGTTGTTCAAAGCTTCCTCTGAAATTCAGCTTACTAACATGCCCCTACAGCCCCGATGAGCAAAATGTGTGATAAGTAGCTATATACACATCACCTGTTTTCAAATGTCTACAGTAAGCAAGAGTGGGATGTAGGAGGCAGATCCTATCCTACAGTAAACAGAGAGAGGCTCCTTGAGACAGATTTGCTTGAAGGAACTCCTGAAACACTGCAAAATGTCCTGTGAAGGAGTCTCTACATACGCTGTGGAAATGGCCTAAGGAAATCAGTCTTTTGATTTAGTTACATGAGCTGGATCCCTGAAGTATTAATGATCCCCCTGCCTATTAGCATTTGCCTTTTCCTCTGTGTATATTTTCTACTTTCAACTGTATTATATTTACACTGGTAAGATTTAAAATTGCAGATATTCTTTCCAGCACACATCTGCATGATGCATCATAGGAACTAGTTATTTTACAGTTACAGAAAAACAGCCTCACAATGCTATACAGTATTTTATTAAACAGATCCTGATCATGCAATTATCATAGCATTACACACATATGCCTGGTGGGTGATGCAGAGCTCTGTGCACTAACTTCAGCTCTGGTATTTACTAAATTCCTCAATCCTATAATAAAGACCTGGAATGTGTTCATGGCTGGCACCAGCTTTTTTTCTCTCCACTGTGAATCATGGGCAAATCCTCAAGAGAAATCAACATAGCTAAAAGAGCAGAAAAGGGAGAACAGGAATATTAGGAAGAGTTAGGATATCAAGAAGAATTTATTCACATAAAGTGTGATTAGACATTGGAATGGGCTGCATAAACAATAATCAAAAGACATACCAGGCACCATGTAAAAAAGAAAATAGACCAGAACAACTGCTACTGATGATGATCTAGTTCCTGCTCCAGATAACAGAAAATAAGTTCTTTCAAAACCCAGAGTAAGAGAAAAACACCTCCTGAAGCAAACAAAAAAATGAAGACATAGTCAGTCATAGATCAAAATCTGATCAAAATCTAACCAGGGAAAACATTGAATTAAATTATTTGATTTCATTACAATAAATGTCATTAATAGCAAAGAGTTAACCACAAAATGCTGAAAAGGATGTATTTGGTCCTGTATTATAGTACAGTCATTAATAATTCAGAAACTGGGGCAAGTATCATGGCATAAAATCTGCAGTTATTTCAGTTACTCAGAATCAAGGAAAATTAATAATCTAACCAAAATTACTAAGTGGACCCCAGAAACAATAAATCAACTTTAAATGATGATAGATAACAGACACATATTAAAATAAACCCATTAAAAAAACCCAACAGTCTGTGCTTTATGAGGTTTCAAATTAAAGACAAAACTATAAGGAACTTAGTGCAATAAAACTCAATGTGTTAGGCAAAGGGAGGGTAACAGTTACCTACTAAATCTCCAGATAAATTGATGTTAGT